TCTAAGCAACTTCAATCACATTCATAAATGATTTGAGCATTATCTGTCTTGAATTATCTAGGCCATTGCTTCCCCTGCATTAAAGTGACTCAGTGGAATTTAATGTATTCAAATGAGCACAAACATATTAATATATTCAGAGTTATATTTAAATTAACACATTCTTCCAACTTATACATACAGACCTGCCATTTCACTGGGGGGAGAAGGGGACTGTTTGTTCCATCTCTCCTTTGGAGACAGTAGCAGTTATTCAGATTTTTATTTTTGTTTTTGTTTTGCAGCAACTATGGCCTAACAATTTGTGTTTTTGTTTTTTTTTTCGTTTTTTTTGGCTAGTTCTTAGATCTCTGATGAGGACTGAGATATCCTTACCAGCAGCCACCTATACTGTGAAGCCTTCAACCTCCCTCCCTATACACACCCTCCTCTCATTCCCTGGGACCACTTGAAGCAGGATGGGAGATTGAGGGAAGAAAACCTCAGGATTCCAGGTCCTCCACCTCCCCACACTAGAGTGAAAATTAAAGTCATTCGGGATACAGAAAGGCCTTCTGAAATACTCCAAATATTTTTCAGATATTCAGGCAGGCGATCCAGTCCAGGGCAAAGACTAACCCAGAACATATCAGAGTGGATGCTGAATTGACTCATTGCTTGCCCGGAGCTCTTCAGAAGTGCAGTTCCAGCCAGCTGTGTCTGTGTGGGTGAAGAAGACGCTGTGCCTGGAAGCAGAGGATGCCCAGTGGCAGAGGGCCTCGGCTGCACTGTCCACGAGCTTCCCCATTCCTGGCATCTGTGTTTTGGCACACACATGTCCCCTTTTCCAAGTCCCTCATCTCCCATTCTTCCTCATTTTATTCCAGTCTCCTAGTTTTTCACAGGGACAACCTTGCACCTCTCTCTCTTCCACCTCCTCTATCCAAGCTTGTAATTTGGTCTCCAACCACTTCTTTGCTTTGAATGACACAAGCATGCGGAGAAGCAAAGGGTGGGGATATTTCATAAAAATAATGAAATCATTATTCAACATTTAAGCTTGAGTTCCAATCTCTTGTCATCTCTCTTGAGATCCAATCTCAGAGCCTAAGCACTGTTCCTGGCTTCCCTCCACAGGGAGGTGGTTGCGGGGAGTGGCGGGAATCAGGGAAATGGTTTCTATCTGCCCCTTCATTCCTTAGGCTGACGACTGGGGCAGTGGGAGAGCCCCAGAGAAAAAAGTTTTTACTCCCATGCTAAAAGGCAGCAACAATTTCAGACAGAAATAAGGATACAACTGGTTTAGTGGGACACAAAAGATCAGTGATTTCCGGTCTTGTTATAACATATGGCTCCGATCATGTCAAGGAGGGTTATAAAATTCTCAAAAGTGATTATCTAACATTTTTAACAGAAATATACCAGAGAACTGACTTTGTTTTCACAGGAATGGCAAGGGTCTTTCTCACAAACATATAATTACAAAGGACCCTATAAGAATTAAAACTATTTTTCAAGGTTAAGAATCCATTTTAGACCCAGTGCAGTGTGGCTTGGGCCTGTAATCCTAGCACTTTGGGATGCCAAGGCGGGAGAACTGCTTAAGCCCAGGAGTTTGAGACCAGCCTGGGCAATAGTGAGACCCTGTCTATACAAAACAATAGAAAATCTAGCCAGACCTGGTGGCACAAGCCTGTAGTCGCAGCTACTCAAGAGGCTGATGCAGGAGGATTGCTTGAGCTGAGGAGTTGGAGGCTGCAGTGAGCTATGATGATGCCACTGCACTCTAACCTGGGCGATCTCAACAACAACAAAAAATTCCCTGTTTTATAGACATCATTGCTGAGAGAATCAGGAGGGCTATGAATGGAGAGATGCACCAATCCTCAAGAAGAAAAAGGTGGCAATTTCCCCCTTCCCCACAGCTCCGAAGGAGATGAAGAAAAACAATCTATACTTTTATTTCCCTCTTAACCCCTTCCCTCAATCCTCCTTATTAGCTGTCTACTCCTGGAAATATAGAAATAAAAAACAGGGAGAGGAAAAAGAGGAAAGAAGAACTGAGAAAATGAGAAGAGGAAAGAACTGAGAAGACAGAAAGGAAAAAAACGGTAACTGAGAAAGATCAATGAACAAGAGAAAAGGTCAAGGAGAGAGAAAAAGGGCAGAGAAAACGTGGAGAGGAAGCATCCTGAGTCCTGGTCTAGAAGCAAGAGACGTTTGGCTGCGCCACACAGTTGGGCAGCAGGGAGCGCCAGCCCTGCTCGCCCCTGGGAGCACCATGGCAGCTCCATGCCCTCTGTCTCCCAGCTCCTAGACCAAACAGGACGAGAACAACAGTAAGGCAGGAACCTGAGCAACAGTGTATGTGATAGAGGACAAAGGAGCAGTCAGGCCCAGGTCTCTAGGAGCTGGGCTGTCCTGGCTGCTGCCAGGAAAAGCTGAAACATAAACAAGCAGAGGGTTATAGCCTGTGGGGGGAGAGGAGGGAGCCAGGGGGAGATAGGCTGCACAGGGAGAGCTGCGAGTATTGGCAGCAGCAGGAAGGAACGGTCCATCCCATTCCTACACAGCAAAGACAAGGGCTCCAGTTCATCTACCCTCCTCCCCCTTTCTGCAGATTTCACCTGCCCCCCACTCCCACCCCCCACCCTTGCTGCAGATGTAGAAGCAGAATTTCATAAGCTGCAGCAACTATGGCCAATACCTCAACTCCCCACCAGCTTTCTTCTCCAGAAGACAGAAGCAACAGTAGAAATGGAAAGAAAAAAAAAAAAGATTGCAATAATAACCCTAAACCTTTTCATCTCAGCAGCCCCCAAATACACCAGCAAGCTCAATTCTTAGCATCTCTTCCTTCCTCCCTGGCTCATAACCAAATGATCAAACAAGGCTTTGCTGAAAGGAGGCATGAGGCTACTGAGCCAACATCGCTCTCCCAGTCCGGGAGGGGGTATCACATTATACACAGAAAGAGATGCACCTGTTTCCAAAGGTGGCATGGGGTAGAAAGAGCTCGTGGAGAGTCCCAGATTGCTGTAAGAAAGATAACAGTTTGATGGGGCTAAAATTAAATGTCCGAATTGAGGTTGCTTATGGAATTTAAAGGGGATGGAGAGAACATGGGGTGGAGAGGCCAGAAATGAGAAGAAAAAAAGACAAAGAAAGAAAATACACACAATATAGTAGACAAAGGGGAGAAACCATAAAAAAATACAGCCACACAAATAAAGGCAGAAGCTGAGAGGAGGGAGCCGGCACCTGGAAAGCAAGATGTTACAGCTGCAGAGGGGAGTGGGGAAAGCAGGAGAGCAATAGGGAGGAGAAAGGAAGGCCATGGAGTCAGAAAGGCAAGAATCAGACCCTTCCCTTCATCTGTCTTCTGCTTGTCTATGACTTTAAACAGGTGAGTTCACTGGGTTTTCTCACACTCAGTCGTTACTCCCCCATCTCCCCCATGGGACATGCCTGCACACACCAGTTGGCCCCCAGCTTTCACCTTGTCCTCAACACACACACAGGTCTCTCTCAAGGCTTGGGTAGTGCCTTGGAGTGTCCACAGACTGTAATGGGCTCTCTGCACACACTCAAGTTCAGCAGCCCACAAGACTGAGGCTGTCATCCCCGGCTCACACTTGCTTCCAAGGGGCAGAGGCTGCATGAGGGCTGCGGGTTCTCCTCACAGGGCAATTTAGAGCTGTGCGCTCAGCAGTCCAAGGATCCAAGTGGAGACTCCCACATTGCGATCCTCCATTTTCCCAGGCTGTTAGTGCTGCATCGATTTCACTAGCTCTGCAGCCCTTTAGTAAGGACAAAAGGAGAGGCAAAATCGCCCAGTTCTGGACGTCGCCAGCAGACAGAGAGGCAAGGTTCCTGAGAGAAGAGTTATGAGCAATGATGAGCTCATCTGAATGAGTGTCATGCAGGCATACTCCTCACTGGAGGGAAACAAAAACCAAGACACAGTTGTTTAGGAGTGGGAGTGCAGGTGTCAAAACCCTGGAGTTGTCCTTTCCAATGGGCCTGAGGCAGAGACAAAGTGGTACAATTTCTAGAGAACTAGAAAGATCGAAAGGGAAGAGGGCAAGCAGTCCCAGGCTTCAGAGGCAGGAAATAAATAATGTCCAGAAGGGTCTGGCTCTGAGTGGACCAAATGGCTCTCCTGTCCCATGTTTATGAGGTCATGGAACATTAAGCCAGCCACCCTACAGATGTCTTCATAAGACTTTACGAGATTAGACTGGGGAGACCCTATAATTCAGCAGCAAGAAAGGAGAACAAGAGGGAATTGCAGATAAGAGACAGTAGAAAAAAGTACTTAGCTTCAGAGGAGTCACAGCTCAGTGGGAGGATGTCTGGGTTTGGGGAATCTCTCCATCTTCTTTACTTCTCTTTACTCTGCTGACAGTTTCTGCCTATCTTCATTAGATTCAGGACTGCATCAGCTTCTTTTACCCAATAAATTCTTGATTATCCACACACTTTCCCCCTCCTCATTCAAGTCCAATTCACCCCAAACCACATTCCTGACCCACAAGTAATCAGTCCTCAGAGAAAACACTTTCTTTGGTATTTATGAAGCAAATCAGAAAGACAAAATAAAGTTACATTTACAAACTCACATATTTTCAGACCTGATTTAGATCGTTTGCTTGATGTGGTATTCCATAAATTCTAACAACCACGAATGACTCTTCTAGGGGTCCCTTGGACCCTGAAGGCTAATTCCAAGTTTATTTTTGAAACCATCAGGAGCAGGGCATTGAAACCATGAAGGCTACAAACTGAACCAGCTAAGGAAATAGAGTAGGAGACAGGACACGTTCTCTTATCCCCTCAGACTTGAGCCACCCTGTGGCTATTTGTAGAAAGTCAGAGACCAACAATCCTTAGAAAAGAGCCCTTGTTCTCCAAGTTGTTCTTTCAGAAACTGGGATGTGTGACTACTGGCTGACACTCCAGGGCCCAAATTAAAGAAGGGGTGTTAAGACCCAGATCTTTAAACCACCACTCAGGATCCGTATTTGAAAAGCAACCATTTATTAGAACCAATACAAGATTATGAAAAGGGGAAAAGAGGAGGGTGGAAGAGGGGGAGAGAATGAGGTCTGCATCAGATGTCAGTTATGGAAACACATAAATGCCTACTTTTAAACATTTACATTTAAAAGGTGAACATATATATAGATCACTTATCCTTTAAAAAAAAGCAGACATGTTTGGTTGAAATAAAACCAAGAAACACAACCAAAACTCCCCCACAAACCTAAAAGTCTAAGAGAATTCAATTTTTCATTTCCATTCAGAAATCTGGCTACAAAGTATGATTTGTGTTGCTGCGCAGGATAGAGAGTGCTGAAAGAAACCCAGCCTCTTGAGTCTCTTAGATCCCATCCTGCAGGAAACAGTGGGAAAGCCAGCGGGCCACGGGTGAGTCAACTCCTGGCTACTTGGCAGTATGTCGGACTGTGCTCGCTCCATCCTCCAGGATTCCACAGAACTGTCTGGTACCGCCAGTGCTGGGTGAACAGTGGGAGCAGAGTCCACAAAACACAGAGAACCAGAATGTGACTGCTAGGGGCCAGGACCTTGTGCTTTTTCATGGATTACAAATCTAGGGCCAAGGAGAGGGAAAGGAGAAAGAGCCCTATTGGGAAAAGGAGCTTGTTGAGCCCCTAAATTGATATGGAAAGAGTAAGGCCCTCAAGTGCATACCTGGGCAAAGTGTCCAAAGTTTTCTCAAACCAGAGGGGGAAAGAGTCAAGGTTAAGTTCAGACTGTGGACACTGAGGGAGATGACAGATGCTAAATACAGTAAATTGGATGAAGCTTTAAGGATGCCCAATTCTGAGTGTTACACATATTTCTAGAAAAAAAAATTCCAATGTAGCTCTTTTTCGGTGGGGGATGAGGAGGTGGTCACATTTATTGAACCAGCTGGTCCCTATGAGGAAGTGGAGTATAGATACCACAAAGGGGTGCAGTGACCCAGCTGTCTGGGGATCAGGCTGGGGAGTGATAAGAAACGACATAAATCAAAAACCACTGAGGGTTGCTTTGCTCCTGAGACAGTTTTGAGTCTGCTCCAAACCCATGGGGAATAGGACCTTAATTCCCAACCTACAGAGAGGAACAAGTAGTAGCATTCTTGCCTCATGATTCCCTAATCCAATGCTCTTGGGTCTGAAATAGCCTCTCTTTGTGAATGCAAAACATAGAAAATACTACGTGCCTTCCCCCATAACGTCCTAAGTAAGTCTGGACTAGTAAGATTCCAACATTCACGAAAACACTGTCAACATCTGAACTAGCAGCTTTGATGAGGGGTGGGGGGCAGAGAATTTGCCGAGATCACTAAGTAGTTCCAATCTTGGAGACAGCTCAGCGAGGACTAAAGCCTGTGTCAGGCTTAAACTTCGGCTCAAGGAATCCTCCACAGAGGACCCTGAAGTATTCTATCCACTTTGATTTACAATGCCTCACAACACCCCTGTGAGGTAGGTCAGTATTATTACCCCCATTTGACAGATGGGGAACTGAGGCATTGAAAGGAGTGACTTGCCCAAGGTCAGCCATTATCAATCAGTTGAGAAGGTTGGCACACATAGTCAGCATCCATTTAGTCCTTGTTTCACTTCCTAGAGCATTTTACTTCTCAGAATGCACTTGGGAGCAAAAGGAAGTTGACAGGTACACTTCACTCTGCAAACTAAATGAACTCAATCAACTCACAAGTATTAAGTGAGGGCCTATTATTTATCTAGTATAATGAGAGGAATCTTAGAGAAACAAACTGCTACTGGAAGTCATGTGTTAATGGATATTTTGAAAATAAAATTACATTTTAAACATTAAGGACATGAATTCTTTTGTAAAGAAATATTTACTTTATCCCAAGAGGTGAAGGACAAAGTCACACTGGTTTCCCAAAGTTTTGTATTGAGTAACCCAAATTCCTAAAATCCAAAAAGACCATAGTCAAGCAGGAACAATGAGAACCATCTCCCCAGTGGTGGTCTTGGTAGTGCTTTTGTAGAGCTGCAAGGCTGGTAAGGGTAGAAATCCTAGCATCACCAAACACCTTTCTGCTGCTTCGTGTCCCTCCTCACAATACTATCTTTCCAACTTTTCTGCCTCAACTCAAAGAGTTGCAGCATCTTTATAAACAGCTCAAGACTAAAAATATAATGTTGACCCCTGCTTTTCTATTCAGGGAGAGGAGATGAAATATTCTTTATAACTAGTCATTATAGACTCTTGTAATTTTCTTTCCTCCTGCAGGAGACATAACTCTTTAGTAAAGAATGGTAAAAGAAAAAAGTTGATGTCTTTTTCCCCCTTTGGATTTACTCTGGATTCTGATAGAAGTCATTATGTCTTTTATTCTAAAATTGGGGGAGGGGAGCAGAGGTGGGAAAGACATGAGGTGGATAGCAAACCCACAGCCAGCCCTGGTTTAGAATCAAACACTAATAGTACTAGAAACTACAAAACACTGACTTGGGCCTAATTGCTGTGATACAATTAAACTCTATCTTTTCAGGTGTTCTCAAAGAATTTCTAGGCAGAAATCTCCTTTCTTCCATACCCCCTCCCTCTCACAGTATCCAGTGTAGTAGGACCCCTATATACAACAGAAATTCAAGAGTGATTTATCAACACACACAGTAAAATGTTCACAAGGGATATTCTAGTTCCAGGAACCATTCTAAGACTTAAATATAAACTTTTTTTCACTGATTGCTGATCAAACCAGACAAGTACAGGTGATGAGAATGTTCCAAAAACTGATTTTTCAGCAATGACAGTTCAGGTACAGTCTATTTAGAATTCCTAAAAAAAATTCCTTAAAAAAAACGTTAATAAACTGGCCACTTGGCCTTAGATCAACTGTTAGGGTCACACCTGCCAATGCCATGAGACATCACAAAAAAAAAAGAAAAGAAAAAAGAGAGAGACAATGACAAGATAAAAAGTTCACTGCATTCAATTTGGCCTAATTTCTTGATAATAGTTTCCTATTAGATTTTCCGATTAATACTGATGGCTCTTAGTTAGGCTGTGATAATTAGGTTTTGATCTATTGTGACATTAATGATCACAATCAGTTGACTTTGAAATTGTGTTAATTAATGGCTCTTTCCTTGTCAGCTTTTGCCTCCAGTGCAGGATTCATCCCCTCCCCCACTACCTTGTTTTAACTCCTTCTCTTACTGGTCTCAGAGACAAACAGCGTTGGAGGATCACTTACTTCCCATAAAGTAAGACTTTAAACTATTTTAAAACATTTCTCTGACAGAGAAGCAACATGGGATGATAGGTGAAATGAGAATCAGGATGAAAAAGCAAGAGAACAAACTATCAATGAATAGGAAAACTTCTACCTTAGAAAACAACCAAAGTCAAGCATTGATGTTAAAGTGGCAACAAGTTGAAGTAACTCTAAAAAGCCACGGTGAGGTAGATTAAAATTCAAGAAATTCAGCACAAGCAAAAAGAAACTAGAATGGTTTATGTGAAATTATCAAAAAACACTTCACACTTTAACTTTCCTGAACAGTTACTTTAATTCCTGGGAATTTTGACTTCCAAAGCTAGTCAACTTTCAATTATCCAGACAGAAATAAACATCTTTTTCTTATGGTTAGATGGGTCAGAATTGAGAACTTTCTTAGGGTCAGACTGTTTCTTAACCAAGCTAAACTTCACTCTAGACCTCCATGGACTGATTAAATCTGAGACTCAGATTTCAATATGCAGGGTAGGTGTGTTTCTGGGAAAGGTTTCCATATAATCGACAAAAGTCCTTGCTTAGAAACCACTCTCTTGCCACATTAAATAAAACTATGCTCGGATGCTCAGATATTAAAAGATGTGTCCCAAGCCTCCTTTTTAGCAAATCTCTTGTCATTGGAAAGTATGTCCCTGTTTTAGGCATAAAGCCAGCCTCATGTTCATTCCTCCAAGAGTGATAAGAAATTGAAAAAGGTGTGAGCAACTCTGACAAAATGTCCATGATGAATAAATGTTACAGAAAGGGCAGTGTTACATACAACTGAATCTGCAACACAGTTAATGCTTTCCACAAAGAACAACGCACTCTATCACTAAATACTCTGGCAGAGTCTAAACCAGGAACCAAAATCAGAAGTTCTCAATCCCAATTCACCTGTTCTCTCTCTCAATAATATTCCTAACTCTCACTTACATTTATTTCCTGGAATAAAACAAACCCTTATGTGTTCTATGGCCAGTTAGCTCAGTTCACCCAAGGTCTTTTCCACATATGAACCAAAAATAACGTTACCCTCCTATTCCAGGGCCACAAACTATACCAACACCAGCCAGTTGTCTCTGCCCCCAAACCAGAAATTTGTACCAGTGGGTAGCATTTATTACACCAAACTATTAATGAACAGTCAGTTCATCCTACACAAGCATGAAAGTTCTTTGAGGGCAGGGATGGTCTCTTTTTGACCTTTGTCTCTGTAGGACAGAAAATACCTATTAAATGAAACCATTGTTGACCTGCATTGATATGGCTGGAATTTGGAAAGCTTGATGCAAATTGAGCAGGACAGGTACCTAATTTAGAGCTTTTGCTTATGGGTATAAGGCTAGCAACATCTCTATTTTTGAAAACATAACTTTTATGACTAGTAGGTGAAGCCAGCATGAAATTGCAATATGTTTGCTCCAAATCTTTCCTCTCTCTGGCTTGCCACAGACATGTCTGGTGGTTTAATGACAAAAGTATACACCTCAACACTGTAATTTTTATTCTAAAAGTCTCAGTCAAAAAGATGGGATCATGGATGCAAAATGAACTTGTCCTTTAACCTTATTTGAGAGAGTTTCCTCATTTCAAATCTAATGGGGTTCTCATATCATTGCAAAGTAGTATTTTAGGCCCTCAAACTTGAACCCTAAGGATAGAGACAATTGCTCCCCCAGCCCAAACACAGATCTCTCTCACTGTACACCTTAGGGGATTGGGTTAAACCCCAGAACTGTAAAAATCTCAAGATGAGAATCCCAATAACCTTCCCAATGCCCTGTGATTTATTTGGCCTGAATATAAGGAAAATGGACTGCAGGATAGCTACAGAACAGGAATGGAGAGTTAAGAATAATAACTGCCCAAGCTTGGGAACAGGACGAAGCCCTCAAAAACAAAAAGTAGTATGCACTATGGTTGAGGGACAGCCAAAGACCATTTAGATTTTTCAGTGTTAGAAGCACCACAGGTCCAAATGTTCCCTAGAACAGATAAAAACTGGATTGTTGGAAGGAGAAAAAACAATATAGCTCTTTCCAGGTTTAAAATGGGCACTTCCATCCAGGCTGACTTTTCCAATAGTTGATCTTAAACTTAAGGGCCATCTGCCTAGCCTAGGGATCAGAACTGCTAAGCTGTCCTTGGTAGACTCTACTGGGCAAAGCTATGCCAAAGTCTGCAGAAAGGGAGCTCATTCAATGCTAATTACTGGAAGAAATTCAGCATTAGAAATATGTTTTCAAACAGGAGTAAACACAGGAAAACTATACTTTGGGCACCTGACATCTAGCCCTAAGAGTGCTTAGCCCATGGCTATTAACTCTTTAGAGGGGAGAAAAGTGCCACAAAACAGGTTTTTGTTGGAAGTTGCAATTCTCCAAGGGCAAGGACAGCTACTCAGCACTCAAAAATGCAGGAGGCAGGTATCTGATTTCCTTTGTGCTAAGGGCTGAAGTCAGTATTGGCCTCTGGCTCCCTAAATTCCTACAGAACCAGCTATGGGTAGGCAGGGAGAGACCAAAGGTTGCTTTGGCAATACTCAGTATAAGACCATGATTCAATAAACTGAGGACAGAAAAAGATGGAATGAGGAGTATTAAAGTGGTAAAAAGTGGTAGATTGATAAGTAGGGCTATTTTGGTAAAAGAAAATCAGATTTTGACAAATGACTTAAATATCACCTATAACCACAGCAATCATGTCTCAGGTTTCTCAGGACCAATCCCAATACCAAATATTGTCATGTTCTTTGTCCCCATGCTAGATGTTTGGTTTTAAAAATATGATCAGTAGCAGCAGCATACTCACCGCTACTAGGAGACAAACACTGGCTACTTAGATAGGCTGTCATTTTCTCCAGCTGCAAATCAAGAGACCCAAATCACCTCATCAAGAGCTCTGGCCTATTTTTGTCCTATTCTTGTCTACCCTGATATCCTTGGTTACTTGTATGACAACCCTTTTTCTTGACCATCCTTTCTTTCTTTTAGATGCCCATCAGATTAAGTACAAACAATTGTCAATTATCTAGCACTTGATCTAGGCCTTTAATTCCTTCAGAGAGCAAAGGAATATAGAGATAAAACTCTACCTGCTTGAGGTAAGGGTTATGAGCTCTCCCCCAATCACATTATCATTCAAAAGAATTCTTGGCTGACTTAAACCAAAATCTTCATTGTTCAAGTCTGTCATGTCACTGCAGCAACAGCTGTCTTCTCAACTGCAGTATAATTTTTGACATAATTTATACAAGCACACAGAATTCAATCAGCAGCTGAGCAGGGAAGCAATGTTAACAAATGCTATGAATGGATGTATGATTTGCATATTATTTGGCTCATCTGTGGACTGGAGCAATCCATCCCCTCCTTACTCTGAATAATCTAGAAATGGTTGAATGCTCCTGGCCAGACAGCTATATGTTTTAAAAATCAAAAGCAACAACAAAAGCAGCCTCAATGGCTGGTGAACTCTAGAATTAAGGCTGTTTCAAGCATTTATTCTTATTTCCTCAGCTTTGGGGCTGGGACAAGGATGCTCAAAACCCTGCTAATTTCCTTACTTTTAGTCCTGATTCTCTAGCCCCCCTCAACTACAAGAAGAAAAGGATAAAAAGAAGTAGGGCATTCCTCGAAGGACAAAGGCAAAAGGATATGGTCAGAAAAATCTCTCAATATAATAAGAAAGCAAGAAGAACCAAAAGGGAAATATTTTGCTGAGTAGGAAGAGAAGGTTGTATCGACATGCTAATGCCAGGGCCTGTCACTTTTTGAGGTGATATTCTTTCATGAAAATGCATTTTAAAAAATAAGATACATAAGAATGCTGCCCTTTGAGCAAAAATAAAAGAAAAAAAAAAATAAGATACAGCTGAAAGTTTGAGGGTGGTAAAAGGAGAGAACATTAATACTTTGGGGACTCTTGGTGGTAAATCCAGGAGTCAAGAAAGCAGGAGACTTATGACTATAACTGCTATGAATATTTAAAATTGATACTGTGGCCAATGGCTCCCCTCCAAAAATTCCCCACTGCAAATAATGACATGGAAGGGAAAGTCAGGTCCACTGAGAAGTGAGGGTCAGGTCTGAAGCCTCTTTGGTAACAGGAATGCTTTGGGAGGCCACAAAAGTTGGCAGGGTTGGAGGGTGCCTAGCACCTTGGCACAAGCAAGCACCAGGCAATCACTCATACCTACATAAATATATAATCTAAATATGAGGGATGGAAGGAAATAATACATACATACCATATATGATAATAAAGACAATTGTATCCTACCCCTACCCCATCATCCTCATGTACTACAGCTAAAAATCTCCACAGTTAATAATCTTGTCACTTATGACAAACTGACACCACCTTGCAGAAGCAGAGTCAGGGATACTGCTAAGAACAAGGCCAAAAGTCCTGGGGCTAAAAGGAGTGCCTTGACAAATTTCAGTGTAAAATTTCAAGTCCTCCAAAGGACGGAATTATTCTGGGAAGGTGAGGATGAACAACAAGGGTGGCCCAGAAGACCACACCAGAAACCCTGTATTCTTCTGGGTAGAGCTGAATGAGGTTGGGAAAGCCCCAACAGGTAGGCAATTGCTATTGGCTTTTTAAAATATGGGCAACATCCTTTCCATCCCAACATGTCAAAACAAAGGCCAGCTGGTCATCAACATGTTCCAAGAACCAAAGCAAGAAACCAAAATTCATCATCATTGTAACAAAATCCCCAAATCTAAAAAGCGACCAACCCTGAAAAGATCAAGACTCTAAGGTGATTAAAAAGTTAAAACTCATCTTGAGGTCACAGGGGAGCAGAAGGAAGAGATCAGGGCAAAGGAAAAAAATTGTGGGAATTACACACAGTATGTAAATGCCTGGTCTTCACAGAGAGACACTTATCATGAATCAGACCATCAGTTATGTTACAAGAGAACCAATACCAACATTTCTCCTGTGGAGCACAGTGATAAGCACATTTTTTATGGATGTGTTTAGGATAGAAGGGGGTGGGTAGAAGGAAGAGGAGGGGTGGGTGAATGTATTATGTACAAAGAGAAATGACAGAGACCACCCCCTCCTTTAGCTCTTTGCTGTTTCTTTCTCTTTGTTTTCCGCATCCTCAGGGTATGCATGCCACGTCAGTCTCTCTTCATAAAATGCTATCACAATTTGTGGACATTTCACATTAGCTTCTTTTGCAAGAACCAGATCTGCTTCATCTGTGTCTTTCCTGAAAAGAAAAATTATGAGACTTAGAAGGAAAGGAAGTAAGAGGGAAAGAATCTGTTCAAACAAAGGTTTATGTCATTACATGGATTTAATTCACTTAATTTCCTCCTAACCTTGATTTCAAAGTGAAAAGGACCCTAAGTTAATTATTTTCAAGGAGAAATTTACGTAAATAAATTAAATTATAGTGAATATCATTTAACTACTATATCAGACAGAAACAGATGTCTGCAGCTAGAATTTAAATGTAAAACAAGGGGGTACGCTCAGTTAAAAACCCTGAGTAATAAATTATATTAATTCTGCTTCCACAATTTGTATTTGTGTGTATAAGCATATGAGTGAATGCAATCAAATCTATATTCAGCTCTATTGATTATGTAAAGTTGATCAATCTAGTTTCTGGATCATCTAAGTAAAGGGGTCCTAATCTTCTTCACCTTGTGGCCTTTTAAATACTCATTACCCCTTTGGTCAGAACTGTGGAGTGGAACAGTAAGAAAAAAAAATCTAGGTGCAAATTTCAATTATTCAAGTTCAGCCTCCACTACCAAGTAAAACAGCAACAACAAAAAAATCTAGCAACATGGTTCCTTAACCACGATTTCAAATCAAGACAAAAAATTTTTAATTAAAATTCTCTTGTGGCCAGGCACAATGGCTCACATCGCTTATCCCAACACTTTGGGAGGCCAAGGTGGGAGGACTGCTTGAGACCAGGAGTTCGAGACCAGCCTGGGCAACTTATCGAGACCCTGTCTCTACAAAAAAAAATTTTTAAACTTAGCTGGGCATGGTGATACATGCTGGTAGCCCCAGCTACTCAGGAGGCCAAGGTGGGAGGATCACATGAGCCCAGGAGTTCAAGGCTGCAGTAAGCTATAATCACACCACTGCACTCCAGGTTCAGCAACACAGTAAGACCTTATCTCAAAAAAAAAAAAAAAAAATCTCTTGCAAGGTGGACAAAGATAACTACCTCTTTTACTAGAAAGTTGAGTAGTTTAATTATTACAGGTGAGAAGAGAGGGAAAATACACAGTTTAGAGCAGATACTCAAATTTGGACTATGATACAAAAAGCTAGTTAATAAGTGAATGTAAATCGTAAGTAAAACATATGGCTGAGTAGGAAAAACCAGTAAATATAGCTCTTTATTCTTGACAGAGTATAGTGATTCTTCAAATATAGGCTTCTGGGTAATTTAGCAGCAGCATTCTGACTAGATAAAAAAATTTAACCATTTGTACAACTTTGAGGGTAATTAGCTCCCTTAGTGGCACAAATCCTCTATGCAACATAAGCCCAGAACAAGTGGAATGAAGAGGTAGTGGGGACACACCATAAATCACTCTGTCGTGAAGAAATCAAATTAAGGGGAAGTACTTCACTTTCATCTAAGAACCATTCTCTCTATGGTATACAGTAGCTTGTGCTTTCGCCAGTATTAGCTTTAATGCTTTTGGCTGCGATTATTTTTCTCTTTTAGACATTATTCAGTGGTCTTGGCCCTCAATGACGGCAGAAAGCCTCATTTAATTCCTATCCCACAGTCATAGGCTCATCGTCTTACAGTAGATGATTCAGAACTGTGTAAACAACTGGTTAGGTCATGTTTATATGTATTCTACCTCTAATTTACCTTTTTCTGATATCTGGGCTAAAATAATATAATTATTTGGCTTAATACCAAGGCTTGAGAATGTCTTACATCTATTCTGAGCCATAATTTCCATTTAATATCAACAGTTGGTATCAGTTAAGGATCTCTGACATTGAAAATTCTTACTTTGGGAATACTCGGTCTTGCTACCCTATCTTCCACACAAATTCAAGTCAATGACTAAGAAACACAATCGTAAAGTGAGGCCCAATCTTTCTCACCATTTCATTAGGAACATTAAATCGCCACAGGAATCTGTTGCCCCAATGATCTTTTCTGGTTCCAGACCTCTCTCAAAGCCTCGAGCGATATCATTGCTCTGCTATAAATAGAAGATGAAGAAAGGTTAGGGCTTGGAGAAAGAGTAAAAAAATCTCCCTGTTTCTCAGCTCAAAAACCACAATCTAAGTTAATATCATCTGATACATTTCTGTCACCAATTCAGAAAAATTCTTAGAACTTAATAAAATATAATACTATGTCAGCCAGTGGACAGTGATGCCAAGAGTTATTTTTGCAAGAAGATGTAGTTGTCCTTCCTGAAATTCCTTCAAAAGATGAAGAGTGAACCCTAAAACTCTTTAATATCCTATAAAATATTTTGGAGTCATCATCTAGGAATTCCTCAAATCCCATTCATCTTGAATCTCCTTTATGTTGTAAATGATGACTCTTAAGTTGTAGTTTCTGAAATGACGAATCTATATTTACCCTAACTAAACCCTTTTCCATTTTATAAACTTGACATTTAACACTTCTCTCAATCTTTTTTCTTTTATTTTTAGTTTACGTTAATACTAACCAATTATTTTAATACTTTTCACAGAGTAGTCACCTATATTTATGAAAGCAGAGGTAAGAATGATACAAAGCCAATACTATTAAACAGAAAATTTCAGAGATCACAAACACCAATACCCACACACTTGTCTGGAGGGGAGGCCCTGGTCTGTGCCTACCTCCTTCTAACATGGATGACTTGTTAGCATTAGAAGGCAGAACTGGTCCATGATTAAAAAAAGAAGAAGAAAAGAAAACAATACTAATAATTCATGAGGGGAGTATTGAAATTGGGTCTAAATGCAATCATGCAATCTAGACAAGGGGCAGAGGGTCTGATCCAGTGTAATAACACTATTGAGAGCAAAAAATAAAATTTTACACAAACCAGATAATTTTTAAAACTTTATTATGGAAGATAATGCAAGCTAAAAAGAGAAGAGATTACTCTTTTTTTTTTTTGAACAGTCTCACTCTGCCGCCTGGGCAGAGTGCAGTGCCACTATCATAGTTCCATGTGGTCTTGAACTTCTGGGTTCAAGCAATCCTCCTGCCTGCGTCCTGAGGAGCTAGGACTACAGATGTGTGCACAATGCCTGGCTAATTTTTAAATTTTTTGTAGAGACAAGGTCTTACTGTGTTACCACAGATGGGTCTTGAACTCCTGGCCTCAAGTGATCCTCCTGACTCAACCAGGCCACAATTTTTTTTTTAATTTCTTCTTTTTCTTTTTTTTCTTTATCACAGTCAGTCTTGGCACAGGCCACGATTGTTTACAGCAGCATTTTAACAGCCAAAAACAGAAAACAAATTCAAATGTCCGTCAAGTAATCAATGGATAATGAAATATGGTATATCCACACAATGAAATACTATTCAACAAAAAACTAATACATGCTACCACTTGGAAGAACCTCAAAAATATTACACTAAGTGAAAGAAACCAGACACAAGAGACTATACAGTTTGATTCCATTTATATGAAATGCTTAAGAAAGACAAATTTAGAGAAACAGAGAACAGTTAGTGATTGCCTGAGGCTGAGGTTGGGAGTTGGAATTGACTACAAATAGGCTCAAGAGAATTTTGTGGGTTAGAGAAGTGTTCTAAAACTGCAGTATAGTGACGGTTGCACAATTTCAATGGATGAATTTTATGGTATGTAAATTATACCTCAATAAAGCTGCTTCAAAACCAAATCTGAATTCTGCTTTATATGTGGCAAAGTAGTGTGACTTCATACATATAATTATCTGTGCAACTCTAGAGAAAACCTACTAAATCTTGCACCCCCTTTTACATTACCTTAAATATGTTACTCATATTTTGGAAAAATGTCAACAAATACTAGAGGATTAGAAATAGTTATTTAGAAAAAAGGCAGTATTTCCTTCAGCTCCTCATGCAAAAAAAAATAATAAGGCAGTATGGTCTTAATTATAATAATATATATAATAATAAATAATAAACAAAGAGATGATGATGAAGTGGGATTTAGAGTGCATTAATTCAAGTGCTCTGGACACAAATTACTGTCACTATGAAGTCAAATATATTTTTATATTAACAAACATAAAATACTAAATTGTGTTCATTAAACTTTGGCATTTATTTGAAAAAACAAACAGTTGACATTCTCAAAGTTGTTCTCTGTATTCCGGCATGGATTTTAGAAAACCAAAGCCACCAATTACATCATAAGCTTATGGAATCAGGCTGAGCTCGGTGGCTCACACTTATAATCCTAGCACTCTGGGAGGCCAAAGCAGGAGGATTGCTCAGGGTCAAGGATTCAAAACAGCCTGAGCAAGAACGAGACGCTGACTCTACTAAAATAGAAAGAAATTAATTGGCCAACTAAAAATATATAGAAAAATTAGCCAGGCGTGGTGGCACATGCCCTAGTAGTCCCAGATACTCAGGAGGCTGAGGCAGAAGGACTGCCAGGAGTTTGAGGTTGCTATGAACTAGGTTAATACCATGGAACTCTAGCCTGGGCACACAGTGAGACTCTGTCTCAAAAAAAAAAAAAAAAAAAAAAGAAGCTTATGGAATCAAAGCAAGAATGTACCTACATGGGCAAAACTAGAGCAGGGGTCCTCTTTACCCTTAGCCAGTGGCAGAGTTCTTCTGGTTATATAGTGAGGACTAGTTTACATTAAGTACATCTCTCAATATGTCATAAAAGCAGCTTCTACAATCTGTCAGTCAACTTGGGAAAAAATTTTAAATTTATGCACTACCTATCCTAGGTATTGTATTGTTTTTTAAATAAGGTATCTTTAGATAAGAATGATGCGAACACATGCCATAATAACCTGATTCAATAAAAACAAAATGATAGAATATTTACTGTTGACCTAAACAACTTTCTCTATAAAAGGAGCATAAGAATGAGACAAAATTTATTTCTAAATAATTTGAGCTAACACTAGAAAAGTCTCTCCTTTATATCCCTTCTCTTAGCAGAAAAAAATTCCTCACACAGTAACTTTCCTCCAAACCCACAGACATATAGTTCACTACCCAGAGGAAATTAAAGCACCAAAACCAATAGGCATGCAACACTATAAAACAAGCCAACTAAACTTAGAGATTGGAGATAGTCTTTGTGATAGCAAGGAAAGCCAGTCCCCTAATGGGATTATCCCTTTCCTAACATTTTGGTTCTGCTGATTTCATTCAACCAATTTTCACCAAAAGAAGGCATGGTATACTTTTAAAAGAGCTTAGGCCAGAAGTGGTGGTTCACATCTGTTAAATCCTAGCACTTTGTGAGGGTGAGGTGGGAGGATTGCTTGAGGCCAAGATTCAAGACCAGCCTGGGCAATATCGAGATCCCTGTCTCTACAAAAATATTAAAATTAGCCAGTATGGTGGCACGCCTATAGTCCCAGCTACTTGGGAAACTGAGGCCAGAGGATTGCTTGAGCCCAAGAGTTTGAGATTGTAGTGAGCTTTGTGATAACACCACTGTGCTAGCACAGGCAACAGAGCTAGATGCTGTCTTAATAAAATTAAAAAAATAAAAACAGCCTGGGTTTTAGGGCCGAAGAAATCTGATATTGAATCCTAGTTCCAGCAGCTGCAACTTACATGACCTTCAGCAAAAACTTCACTAATTTTCTTCATCAGTAAACTGAAAATACCTCTAAATGCTTTTCTGAGAAGAAGAAAAAACAAGAGAGAGAGAATTAAAGAGAACATAAAAGGTAGAATCTGACCAATGCATAGCTCATGGTAGGGTACTCAGTTATAGAGACAATGCTGGGGTTGGGGAGGGGACTGTTCCAGTCTTTTTATAATCCTATACATTTCTGACAAAGTAAGGACAAATGTCTACCCCAAACCTTATCTTTTTCCTTTTATCTATGGTAAGGTACTGGTAGCTCAATGACAGAGAGTTTCAAGCACCTTTCAAACACCCAAGTATTTCTAGTGGTGATTCAATGGGCCAATAAACATCCTCAAAAAAAAATTTTTTTTTTTGAGACAGAGTCTCACTTTGTTGCCCAGGCTAGAGTGAGTGCCGTGGCATCAGCCTAGCTCACAGCAACCTCAAATTCCTGGGCTCAAGCAATCCTTCTGCCTCAGCCTCCCAAGTAGCTGGGACTACAGGCATGTAGTCCCGGCTAACTTTTTCTCTCTATATATATATATTAGTTGGCCAATTAATTTCTTTCTATTTATACTAGAGACGGGGTCTTGCTCTTGCTCAGGCTGGTTTCGAATCCTGACCTTGAGTGATCCACCCGCCTCAGCTCCAGAGTGCTAGGATTACAGGCGTGAGCCACCGTAAAATTGGGATTTTTCCTCTTGTTACTTCTGACTTCTCCCTTGGTTTGTTATTTCCACCCTCCTTCATCTTCTAATACTTTTCATAAACTCAGAAATTAGCTCAGGGCAATCCAAGTTTTCTCAGGTTCCAAGTATTGTGCTCCTGGGCAGTAAGAATGAAGGAAAAGAAAAAGAATGACTAAAAAATAACAAATCCAATGGCTTATTTTAAAGAGGACTTTGAGGCAAAAAAAACAAAAGAAAGGGCAGAAACCTGATACTTAAAGGAGATAACAAATTTTTGTCTAGAATTCTACCGAAGAGAAATAAAAAAATATGCCACACAAAGACTGTGTATACAATTTTCTCTTCTTTTTTTTTTGAAACAGTCTCACTCTGCCGCCTGGCCAGAGTGCAGTGCCACTATCATAGTTCACTGTGGTCTTGAACTTCTGGGTTCAAGCAATCCTCCTGCCTCAGCCCTCTGAGGAGCTAGGACTACAGATGTGTGCCAACAATGCCTGGCTAATTTTAAATTTTTGTAGAGACAAGGCTTACTGTGTTACCCAGATGGGTCTTGAACTCCTGGCCTCAAGGTGATCCTTCCTGACTCAACCAGGCCCACAATTTTTTTTTTTTAATTCTTCTTTTTCTTTTTTTTTTCTTTTCACACAGTCAGTTTGGCACAGGCCACGATTGTTTACAGCAGCATTTTAACAGCCAAAAACAGAAAACAAATTCAAATGTCCGTCAAGTAATCAATGG